CCCCAAAACCCCAAAACCCCAAAACCCCAAAACCCCAAAACCCCAAAACCCCTCATTTAAAAGTATAATCGAAACTATTTTATTCTACTTAATAATATATGGGTCAGTGAAATGGCAAGAGCTCAGGTGCTAAAGCACCTGAATTCAAGAACTTTGATGATAGAAGTAATTCATCAACCATGTCCTCACCTACTAAGAGGAGCTCTATATTTTCTGAAAGGAGAGAGAGGTTCATTCTTAGCCCAGGGAACTCAGACCAGATTAAAAAGAAGTACAATGTAAGCACCAAGGCGCTTGGAAAAGGGTCTTTTGGGAAAGTAGTATTGGCCACAAATAACTGAGACGCTAGCATCAAGGTCGCAATAAAATCTTTATCTAAGAAGAAACTTAATGATGAGATGACTTCCAAGATTATGGATGAGATAAAGATAGTCCAAGGCCTTGATCACCCAAATATAGTGAGTTATCTTGAAACTTATGAAAGCGATAAACATATCTATCAAGTCATGGAATATTGCAGTGGAGGAGACTTACTCGATAGGCTTACCAATTCTTCTGATGAGTGCTTAGAAGAGGAGGAAGTTAGAAAAATTATGAAAAAGTTATTCTTAGCTATTAATCATTGACACCTAAATGGAGTCGCCCATAGAGACCTAAAACTTGAAAATATTTTATGTAAATCAGATGATGAGGATGAAATTAAAATTATTGATTTTGGACTTAGCAAGCTACAAGACTCTTCTTTTGCTGAAATGAATACAGCCTGAGGTTCTCCAAACTATGTAGCACCAGAAGTGATTAGCCAACCTTCTTATGGGCGGGAATGCGATATATGGTCCTTAGGAGTAATAGCATACTTACTCATTTGTGGTAATTTCCCATTTGAAGGATCCAATGTGATGGAGGTATATGGAAATATCCAGCAAAATGAAGTCAGTTTTGAAGAATCTCAGTGGGTTAAATCTACTCCTGCATGCAGAAATTTTATAAAACGCTGCCTAACTAAAGATAAAGATCAAAGAATGACGTCTGGAGATGCCTTAAAAACAAATTGGTTGTCAGAAGACCTCTATATGAAGGAGCGAAGGTTATCAGAAGAGGTAATAGATGCCTTGAAGAATTATAAAGCCTCTTCTATTCTCAAAAGAGAAGCCTTATCAGTTCTTGTAAAGCTACTCAGTGAAGATAAGATTATCGAACTGAAGGAAATATTTAAGGAGATTGACATAAACTGCACTGGTACCATCTCAGTAGACGAGCTCAAACAATCTCTAAAAGAAGCTGGTATCAAAATGAAAACGTCACAAGTCAGAAAAATAGTCCAGAATCTTGACTATGAAGAAAACGGTGAAATCAATTATAGTGAATTCCTTGCTGCCACAATTTCACTAAAAGACACTGAGGAGGCTGATTCCCTTCTCTGGGTTCTCTTTAAACACTTTGATATCGACAACAGCGATAGTATCACTCGTGAAAATATCTCAGACGCTCTTCTAAAATCAGGGAAGCGAATATCAAAAAGTGACTTAGACATGATATTTAAAAAGCATGATAAACTAAAAGCCGGAGAGATATCATTCGAGGACTTTAAAGATATGCTTTCTCATCTCTCCGCAAACCCCGAGCACTAACTCCTCCTATATCAACACTTAATAAATTTGTTTAACTCCCGTAATTTACAAACAACTCTCATTCAATATGTTTACATAAAAAAGGGGTTTTGGGGTTTTGGGGTTTTGGGG